AAAGGGAGCTTGAAAGCAACAAGAAAGAGAAAGAAGAAAAGACCAGCACAGAGAACAGACTGAAAGAAGAACTGACCAAGATTGAAAAAGAAAAGACCAAACTGGTGGAAGAGGCCTGCAACACCATCATCAGACTGTCTGAAATTGCATTAAAACCAGACTCTGCCTTCGTTGTTAAGTCACTGGACATCTTGATCCCCCAAGCTGAGGAAACTGGACATCCTGACTGGGTTCAGAAACTGAAGGAACTGAGGAAGATTGAACCTGAAGCAGAGGCAAGAGTTGTTGCTGCACTAAGATATTCAGAGTCACTAAGAAAAAAATCAAGGCACAGTTCATAACAGTGATGAGGAGGGAATTGCTCAGTATACAAATTACACATTATCCAAAGCAGAGTCACGAAGGTGGTCTGTTAGTAAAATGAAAGTGAATATAGGAGAATTAAGTATTCTTGCTGTACATTATCATATTTTCTTTTTTATCAGATTTTGATACTTATAAGTTACACTGTATGCCCAAAAGTATCTAGGTTCTTCTTCTAATCTGTGAATTTAAGGCCACTCAGTGCTGACACAGACATTCAATTGTGCACACACTGCTTGTATAGAAATACATGCAGTACATCATAGAGAAGCAAATTACAACCAGAACTGATCTATGAAAATGGAATTGTGTTCTCTGGAGTGATGGATGCTCCATCTAATACTTTTGGGATGAGTTGGAGTGTCCAGAACTGATCATCCAACATCAGTACCTGACATCACTAATGCTCTTGTAGCAGAATGCAACCAAATCCTCACAGCAATGTTCTAACATTTAGTGCCTCCCAGAAGAATTACTGCAGCAAAGAGGGACAAACTCTCTATTAATACCCTTCATTTCAGAAGAAACACTGCAATGAGCACATGTATGAAGTTTTGGACATACAGTGTTTATCTACTTGAAGCTGGTGGACATTAATACATCAAGAAATTCTGTTTGTTTTTTATCATTAATCTTGTTATTTTTGTCAGGTTAAATATTTAAATGTTAAATAGTTGTCTGTATTAACAAGTGTGCTGGGCTCTTTGTGATCTGATTTAAGACTATTACCAGATCTATTTCTTAAGCTCATCATTCCTGTTACATAAAATAGAAAACTCATATATTGAGTGACAGCTATTATGGAAACATTCATCCAAATCCTGTGAGTATTAATTACAGTTCAAAAAACAGAATGGAACATCTGTACTAATTGTACTAATTCTACTGTACTTAAGCAGTTTTACAAAAAAAAAAAAAAAGATTATATTTCTAAAATAAACGTATTTGTCAAACAAGTTCATTTTTGTCTCGTTGCATTTCTGTGTTTGCTAAGTCAAAAATCAATATTTCTAACATGTAATTACATTTTGGATGTTGACAATTTTTTTAAAGTGCAAACTTTTATATAATGTAACTTCCACCACTGATGAATGCAGCATAGCATCATCAGCACAGATAGTCATGTTCATTCACACACCTGTCCATTAAAGCTGGCAAATAGATAATAATGTAAACACAAAGAATAAAGAACAATATTTTCCTCTTGTGCTGAACTGACTTCCTTGATACTATAAACTGAATTGGGTTGTAGTGAATCTTTGATTAAAGTGAAATAGCCTACTTTGTGTTTTTGATACATAGGATAATACCAGATCATGTCTGTATTATTTATATCTCTTGTATTGCTAATACATTTGAGGGAAACACAAATCTAATATTGACCAGGTTGGAAAGAGTACTGAAAATCTCTACATAAGTACTGTTACTGTAGTAATAATTTACTTGACTACAAGTAAAAATAAAATATAAAGTAAATTACTCAAAAAAGAGTAAAAAGTATCGGCTACATTATTGCAAATAATCTGTAAAGACAAAACTAAAGCACATGATACTACATGAGAAAGAAAGTTTGTGCTGAGTGCTGAGACTGATCAGCTTATGCACATTTACACATCTTTCAATGAACTGTGTGAGAAACAAGGTTCACATTAAAATACCATCAATTAATTATTGATATGAGGCTTTCAAGTTTATCTGTTTCCAATAAAGGAGTTTAGAATATCTGAAAGGCTGTGCAGAGTTTGTTACTGTTTAATTAAGTTTGTATTAAAAAAACAGATAACTTGATTGAAAGACAAAATTATGAGTAGTTTTTAATGATATTCCTCCTGCCCATCTGCTCCTTGGAGCTTACATTAATTTATAGGGGGGGACCTCCACAGAAAATAAACAATCACAGCCTTCAAACTATATAAATGTACTGGTACCTGCATAAAATATTTCTACCATTAAATCTTCAGCAACAACTGCAATTTATCCAGTGTTGATTTTCTTTACTGTGATATATTCCTCTGGTAATCATACTGCGACGATGGCAGATAGAACCAGATGTTCACAGCAGAGGTTTGAGAACAGTACTTTAATATCAATAGGACAATCCAAACTCACAGTCAGTAAACACAAGCAGAAGGTTGAAAACTAGAGAATCAGTGCAGGACAAAAGGGCAAGACTCACGGTCATAAAGAAAACACGGGTCATACACAGGTACGCACATGAGTGACAATACTTTGCGCAATGACAGTACCCCCCCAAGGAGTCTGGGATGACCAAGGAATGAGGGCGCCCGCGACCACCACCACCAACCCGACCAGAGGCATCTGAGGGTGTAACCCCGGAACTGTCCAGGTGCTGGACAGGACCACGGTTACTGGAACGGACCAGACAGGAACTTGAGATGCTTCCTGGGATGACCTCTCTGACGTGGAGCCGGCTTCTCAGGCAATACAAAACTGTGCAGGTAAGTTGAGCCTGCATCTGACATCATTAATTTTTCACAATCTGGAATGAACTGATGTATTTGGGCTGCAACTTACAACAACCATGCCCAAACCTGAGGTCCCTAGTATATAGCCAAACCTTGTCTCCTAGTTAAAAGGAGGCGGTCTCTCCTCGATGCCTATCTGCCTTTTCTGTGGCACACTCAATGCTGCAATGTGTTTGTTCCCAGACTCCTTGATGAGTCTCATACATGTCTATGGTGGGGTTGTCTGATGGTGTAGCAGTCCAGGGAGCGAGAGGAGGTTGATAACCTAGGACACATTGGAAGGGAGTCATCTGAGTGGCAGAACAAATTAGGGAGTTCTGGGCAATCTCCGCCCAGATCAAATACTTGGACCAGTCAAAGGCATTGCTGCTGCTGAATGACTGGAGGAATTTTCTTAGTTCTTGGTTAACTCTTTCGCATTGTCCTCTGCACTGATGATGGTAACTTGAAATGAAACCGACATTGATGCCTAGGTGTTCAGAAGCCTGACCAAATTTGAGACGTAAATGGGGGACCACGATCAGAAATAATGTCTTCTGGTACACCATAATTACGAAAGATATGTTCATATAGGGCTAAAGCTGTGTCGAAAGCAGTGGGTAGTGATTTGAAAAGAATGAATTTCACTTTCTGGCCAGAAGTGTTTTAGGGGTTTTATTTTGTGCACAGATTGAACAGGAGGCTACAAATCCATGTATATCCCATTGCAAAGTCTTTCACCAATAGCGGGCACATATAGCTTATTGGGTGGACAGTGACAAGGGGTTTCGACTTTCTCTGTAGCTTTGGTAATCTCTTCATCAATCTCCCAACAAATAGATAAGATCTCAACACTGAAAGGGAGAATGGGCTCAGGCTCAGACATATTCTCTCTCTCCTGGCCACCCTGATGAATGCAAGCCTGGGCGTCAGCTTTAGAGTTACAAGAACCTGGGTGGTAGGATATACTAAACTGAAAACATGAGAAGAACAGGGACCATCTGGCTTGTCTGGGGTTGAGTCATTTGGTGGAATGCAAGTATTCAAATTTTTAATGGTCAGTGAGAACCAAAAAGAGGTGAACAGCTCCCTCTAGCCAGTGACGCCATTCCTCTAGGGCAAGTTTGACAGCTGATAATTTTCAGTTTTCTATCTCTTGGCAGAACTTAGTTTGTCAGAATAAAACACTATGGGATGTAAATTCTCGGGTTCTCCACTGTGCTGAGATAGAACCAATTCCAGTCTCTGAAGCATCCACCTCCAACATGAAAGGCTTCCATGGATCTGGGTGCTTCAGAATTGGTGCAGTTGCAAAGGCCTTCTTAAGGCTTTGGAAAGCAGTCTCTGCTATGGGACCCCAAGTTAACCTTTTGGACACTCCCTTGAGGGCTGTGGGGGGACCAGCAATAGAACTAAAACCATGAACAAAACTTCTATAGAAGTTGTCAAACCCTAAAAATCTTTGGAGCTCCTTCATACTGGTGGGGGTTGGCCAATTTACTGTGGCCTCAATCTTCTGATCGTCCATCAGAACAACGAGGAAGGAGGCTCTTTGAAGGTAAAACTCACATTTCTCTCTTTTAATAAACAGGTAATTATTAAGTAGGCGACTCAGGACTTGATGAACTTGTTTCACATGTGTTGCATTTTCAGGGGAGTACACTAAGATGTTGTCAGTGTAGACTAAGACGAACCTCCCTATCATGTCAGGTAAGGTGAGGACATTGATAATGAAAGACTGAAAAACAGAAGGGACATTGGCTAAACCAAAAGGCATTACAGAATACTCATATTGCCTTCTAGTGGTGATAAATGCCACTTTACATTCATGCCCCCCCTTAATACGTATGAGGTTGTAAGTGCTGGGATCATCAACGATGTCAATGGAGCAGTCATAGGGACAATGAGGGGTAAGTTTTATGGCATTCTTTTAGCTAAATACTTCTGCAAGATCAGAGTATTTGGAAGAGATGGGTGCTAAAGGAGTGGTTTCTGGGCTCTCAATGGTAGTGGATCTAATTCTAAGCTCTGGGAATGTGTGGCAATGTGAAAAACAATACCCTGACCAAACTGTGACCTCCCTAGCAGACCAAGAGATTTGGGGGTTACATACACAGACTGGCAAACCGGCAAAGCCTCTCCTCTTTGGACAGTCTGGATGTGTCACACTGAATGGACTCTCAAGCTGGACTGGAACTGGGACCAGAACTGGAACTGGATGAAGCACTAAAACCAGAGCTAAAACTGGAACTGGAGATCACGTGAGTGTGGAGAGAACTCTTGTGCAAAGGTCGCTGTTTCAATAGTTGATCGAGGCATATAGCCATGTTGATGATTTGATCTAGGTTCAGATTGTCATCTTTACATGATGCAAATTTAGTCAAGACTTCAGGATACAGTCCGTTTCTGAATACTACAAGAAGAGCTGGTTCGTTCCACCCACTACCTGTGGCTGGAGTACGAATTTCCAAGGCATAAGCAGCCACCGAGCGATTACCTTGTTTTAGCTTGCACAAGAGTTCTCCAATAGAGTGACCATCCTTAGGATGGTCGAAAACAGTCTTAAAGTCTTTTAAAAACTGTTCATAAGACAAGTCCTGCAAATTAGACCACCCTGCGGTAGCCCACTCTAATCCTTTATCAGAAAGGCGAGATATAATGAAAATGATTTTAGCTGGTCATTACTCACTGGAAATGTTTGTATCTGACTCACAGTAACAGAATTGTTAACAAGGGAAACTGGAGTGGAAGTAGGAGCAAATGTAGCAACCCTGGGCTCTCTCATGAATACATTACTAATATGGGAGGGAGCAAAGGAGCAGCTTAGCTCCTTTACACTACACTATATTAAGCTAAAATCTTAACTGTGGCTAAATCAACATAGACTAGTGTTTTCTTGGTTGGAGTTAAAATGGACTATCAATATAGTTAGAAGACCAATTGAGGTCATATTAGCTAACTCCAGAATGCAGTGCTACCGATTAGTGATAGGTAATTTAGCTAGGTCATATTAACAAAAGAGATGGCTAAGTAAATTTAGCTGCCCATAAAAATGACCTATCAGTCAAAATGTAATGTGTAATGTAAATTCAAACTGCTGGTTTATTTTAGTTGCTACTAATGGCAGAGTTCATTGTTATCTTTTGATTTATTTCTCCTAGATGGACACTCGTGGACAGATGTCAAAGAAAGCTGCGGCAAAGTCAAGTACATCTAACATGACTCCAAGCGAAAGTTCTGCTCTTCTGCCACCTCAGCAGTGTAAAGCAGGTAATGTTGGTTTTTACATATGACTTATGTTCAAAATAATTAATCTAAATACTTGTTTTTTTGGAGTGGTACAATGTCTTGCTCTGTATATTCGTAGTATTCAGTGTTTTTTAATCCTGCCTGGCGATCCACAGCACTTACTCCTCAAGGGCACCTAATCTAAGCCATGAATTAAACTCAACCAAGTTTAAGATGAATTTACCTTAACTAAAAGGTAACCTAGCTGAGGAATTTTGAATTCATTAAAATTAAATAATAAATAGTAAGTTAACAGTAATCTATATCTTACGTTTTGTTAACTTCCAATTCAGTAAAATCAAATCAGCTTGCTTACATTTTTTAAGTTAAAACATTTTTGTGGTGCAGAGAGTAGTTGAAACTGTGCAGGACAGGAGGTCCATTGGTCATTTGGGCTGTTCACACATAGGATGTGTGATACAAAACCTGATTAAAACCAAACCAAAAGATATATAAATGTCAATTACATTTAGATTTTCTTTTTTCGGTTAAAATGAAATATAATCAGGTTGCACTAATATTGTAGAGTGAGATTTCACCTAATCAAGGATTCTTTCTAAAGTGTCGCATGTGGTGATTTAATTTGATAAGCTCTCAGTAATTAAGAGTATATGTTATATAGGAGTGGGAATCTTTAGGCACCTCACGATTTGACTAGATTACGATTTAGAGGCTGCGATGCGATTATAAAACGATTATTGATGCACCTTTTTTTCTATACAGGATTTCTTTTTTTCTCACTGTGTGACAACTTGGATTATTTGTATTGTATTGTATATTTGTAATGATCCATAATGAATGTACTTCCAATATGTTTTATTACTAAATCAAATGGAATTGATGTGGCAAGTCAACTGCAAGGCTCTCATTCACTGCTCTTGTTTGGAACACATGAGACGCAGGCTGCCATTTATCTGTGGTAAAATGCACAATTACGGAGGAATAAGATCCTGTGAATGTCCACGCAGGAGATTACAGCCAGAGAACTCTGTTACAGCTATTCTACCCATTTTCTTCAGTGATTTCATAGCTTCGGTTTTGGTTTTGTTGTAGAGAGTCAGTTTCTTGTTCTCCAGCTTCTCATTCAAATTTTCCCGTTCCACCTTAAATGGTGCAGCAGTTACATTCTGGCGCCTCAGGCACCATTTAAGGTGGAACAGGAAAATTCGAACTAGAAGCTGGAAAATGAGAAACTGACTTCAGCCTCTTAAAAAGTCAAACATTGGGAGACATTTTACAAGAAACTATTCTACTTTTGTGGAAAAATTTCCTGCTGGTGCAAGAAAAGTGGCTACCTTGATTAGCCTCTTGCAGCAACCCACTCTTAAATCCATTGGATTACTTTTTGCAAATGATTAAGTACAATATGACAAAATCAACAGATGTACATAAATATATAAATAATATTGTCAAACAGTTAACAGATTGTGCTAAATGCCTAAAAATTAAATACTGTTGGTTACCTATTTCAGTATCACCAACTGCCTTGCAAGGTTTACAAGTTGCAAAGATGCTTTTTTGAGGCCGAAAGGGAGAAAGTTCTTCAGAAGACAATAAAACATCTATAAGCAGACAAGGAATTCCTAAAGGATCAGCTTTCTCAAATGACAGGTAGATGGAAGGGTTAGCTAAACAACTGTATATTTGATCATATATATATATATATATATATATATATATATATATATATATAAACTTTTCATTTGACCGATATCAGTGTCTATAATCATGACAGGTGCTCCAAAAGAAAAAGGTAACTAGCTAACCCACTCCCTCTCTTTTTTGCCTACATGCTCTTGTGTAGGGTACGCTGTGCAAGCATAACTTGATTGACATTGATAAAACTGAATTCTTGGCATAAAACTGTCCCATTGTGCTAGTTACATTTAGGAGCACTGAGATTATTTAAAATTAGAGTTTCAAGTCAAGTCAAAAGGCTTTTTATTGTCATTCCATCTATGTTCAAGTACATAGTGGAGTGAAGTTACGTTCCTCCAGGAACAACACGGTGCAACATGGAACAAAAAGTACAAAGTGCGAACGTGCAGACATAAGTGTGCAAACAAAAAATTAAGCTAGAAACAATACAATAAATATGATAAACAGACATTAGACAACACACAGGACAGTGCAGCGCCGAGACAGCACTCATTTTTGAGCATGAGGTAGTGGAATAAGGTGCAGAGGTATTTAACATGCTGTGATCTGTGAGTTTACACGGTCAGATAACATACGTGAGCACAGCAGTTACTGAGGTAGTAAAACAGTTTAAACACAGTATTGGCAGCAATGTTCCAGATAGTGCAAGTAGTGCATCAAAAGAGGTGTGGGTGGGTGTGTGTGTGGGGGTGGGGAGTGGGGGGGGTTTAGTTCAGTTCTTGTGAATTTGAAAACCTGATTGCTTGAGGAACAAAGCTGTTGCAGAGTCTTGCAGCGGTGGCACGGATGCTCCGGTACCTTCTGCCAGACGGCAGCAGTGAAAAAAGTCAGTGTGAGGGATGGATGGAACTAAAGAGGAAGGGGTCCTTGAGCCTTGGGCCTTTGGACCAGGGGCCCCTTCACTTAAACATTCCAAACCTGCAACATCATTACACCTGGAGCTTGGATACTACACCTTCTTCTGTAAAGCTACTCTTTTAAATATACTTCAACATACAACCAAATGCATGCACTGTCGGTTTAATCTTGTCATATTAATCAAAAGAAATAAGAAATATCCTGTGAACAATTAGCATCCATACTGTAATTTTGTAATTAGCATTCCACCTTAACATTCCACCTTAACATAACTCATGGCCAACAGTGAATGAAAATGTACTCAAACCTCATAAAACAGTGTTTTAACTGCACAACAGCATAACCAGTGTGTGACATAATGTTTTTGTGACTGAATTAACTCATTTTATGTCGAAAACTGGAAAATACAAAGTGCGTTTTAACTCAAAATTACGGAGCTGCGCCAGCACATACCCTCTCTCACAGTGGCGTTTTCCAAAGAGGACAAAAGGTGGGGCTACAGCTTACTTCGTACTCCACTCAAGTAAAAGCTGCTAAAACTCCGCCCATATTGAACTTGCTCGAGCAAATCAGACTTCTCTTTTATATATTTCCCCGGCTAAATAATTTGCAATAGATAAAAGAAATAATAAAAAATTAAAACTAAGAATTTTACAGAAAGAATTTTACATTTAATAGCTTTCTCTCCTCAGTGAAATGCTCCAACAGTTAAAAGCCCTTGCTGATTTCAAAATAAAATCCCTGAAGTGAATAATCTAGTCTAACAACATCACACTGCCACACCTGCAGCACAATTGGTATCTGTAATATGACAGTTTGTAACTATCAGCTTTTTGCTATATGTACCATTTTCAGTGACTTTCCAGTTCAATACATCAAAAGTTAAAGTCAGTCTTCCTACATAGCAAAGCTGACTGGCAATGATAAAGGTTTCATCAGCAATTGCTTGCTTTAGCCTGGGAGAGTGGGTCTCTCTTGGAAGTTCTGTAGAAATGAACACGGTCTAATTTTAAGTTTTGTGAAAAGAGGATTCATACCTGTAATGACAGACACTGTAGCAACAGCTGATGGACTGTGATGTGTGGTTACAATCTGTAATATTACAGATACAAACTGCTCCATGGAAACACAAGTTTATTGGTGCCCTTATTGAACACTTGGCAATTTGTTGAATTGTAGCATTAAAATGACCCTATTGAAATGCTTAAACTTGATTTATTTTACACAGGAAAGAAGGCTGTTGGAACAGAGGAAGAGTCAAGTGGAGAGATAGCAGGTAAGATGAAAACTATCATACACTCAATTATACATGTAGAATATAACACAGATAGCAATAAATAGTATTCTTTGGAACTGTCTACTACAAGATGGCATGCATAGTAAAGTCGTTTGTGATTTAGTGTCATAGTCAAAAGCAAACTGAAGTATACTGTAACATTATTAAATTATTAGTGTG